TACCTCTGGTGCAAATTACTGACCTCTGTCATCATTTTAAGTGGGGGAACTTGCACAATCGGTGGCTGACTAAATACTTTTTTGCCCCACTGTATGTATTATAGCCAAACGTCTCCACTTTGGTCTCATCTGTTCAAATGACATTGTTCCAGAAGTCTTGTGGTTTGTTTAGATCCAACTTTGTAAACTTAAGCCATGCTGCTATGTTCTATTTAGAGAGAAAAGGCTAGCTCATCTGACCTTGTGGTGGATTTGCTGGGAAGTCCATCTCTGGCAAGATTGCCATCTGTACTGAATGTTCTCCACATGCAAATGATATTTCTCTACAGCATGCTGGATTTCAAATGATTTGGAAATTAACTTATAACCCTTCCCAGATTGTTGGGGAGCATCAGTTGCTTCACTAATACCATTAGTGACAACTTTGCTCTTTGGCATCGAGTAAACACAAACCTGAATGCTCCAGACCAGCCAACTGTCAAAACCTCTGTTTTTATAGAGACATTCACACTTACTCAATTAATCAAGTGCATTTGATTTGCAGCACCTGGCTGCTGATTACCCTTTTAAGGGTAAGTAAGGGTTTTGTCTTAATTCTTCTTAAATAAATAATGACAAAATGTACAGCGTCATGTTTTGTAATTCACCAGATAATTTTTTTAAATTCTGAATATTGAGATGTACTAAGAGGAAAGCCCTAACTCGCCTCTAGCTTACTACATTAAGATGTTGTATTGATCTATTCGTCATGCAGTTCGACAAAATCGTATTTATTACGAAGTACACAGAGACTCTCAAACACATAACAACAGAGTATCAACAACCTCGTTTCAGCACACAAACACACTTGGCTATGTCACAATCTATGAAGCGTCCTCACATAAGGGCTAGAGACATCTCTATTGTATAAGAGATAGTGAGATAGAAAGATAGAAATTACATTACTCCAACGCACGCACGCACACAGTACACGCACGCACACGCACACACACGCACGCACGCACACACAGCTACCTCAGGTGTTATCGGTTAAATCAGCTAATTGGATTGCCCCCTTCCAGCATCACCCTCTTATCCTCTTTGGCCTTAAAACAGCTCTTCTTCAGGGAAGCCTGCTCATTATACATCAGCCAATTAAAATCTCCTGCAGGAGGGTCAGAGGTCAGTGGTTAATCAATCAGAGGGAGTGGCAACAGTTGTAGTTATCAGATTACGCTATCACCCAGGAAGTAGGAAAGATAAGGATGCACTTGTGAGAGCAAACCAGTGGGGAGTCTGCATCCCATTACACATCTAGCGAAAGCAGAACAGGAGCACAGCGTAGGTATGATGCGACTAGAGTAGATATTTTAAGACCTAATGACGAGTGGATTAATAAGTGTAAAAAGATGACACATCACAGGAATAAAAAGCTGCACCTGTTCAGAGAGGAAGAGAGATGGAATCAGAGCATGACAGGAAGAGGCAAGTTACAAACCCAGCCATCGACTAAAACCACTGTTAAGATCAGGAGCTGAGATCAGATAACGCAGAAAACGGAAAGCAGGAGTCAATCACAAGACAGCAGAGAGCAGTGCATTAGGAACAGACACCAGCAATGAGAAAATGGCTCTGTTCTGCCACAGCAAACGTCACATAGTGTGAGAAATCTACCATCTAAGAAAGTTAAAGTCTCTTCATGAAGGCTTGTGATAAATGTCAATGTGATGGCGGGACGGTGGACAAAGGAGGACGACAGATAAGTATGAAAAACAGAACAAAGATGAACGGCCATCTCAATTTCTTTGCCTCCAGTGTAGGATCCTTAGGGGAAAAGGGATTCTGAATTATTCCAAAAGTGACAATGAACCTGAATTTGTGTTTTTGTAAAAACAAAAAACAAAAAAACCCATAAATGGGTATAAAATAAAAAGAAGAAGTTGTGTTATTCTCTGAAGAAAAGCACAGTGATGTTCAGTTGCAGGGTCAGATGAGGATCCAAAGCCAGAATTCTGAAAGAGTTTTGCTCTGCTCACCTTGCTTGTAATAATTCTACTGAGTACTTCTTATCCAATCTCTGGCACAAAAAATATGACAATGTGTGACACTGCACACACATGCACACCCACGTGCACCCCTGCGTGCACGCACACACACACACACACAAACATCCCCAACCACAGCAGTGCTTCCCACAAGGCAGTACCAGTGAATTGTGCCATCAAAGCACTAAAGGGAGTGGTGGAAGAAATAAAACTGCTGTGAAAGAGCATGACTGACATGACAGGCAGGCCTCAGAGACAAGCAAGTAACACCTTATATCCCCCACCCCACCTCTCTCTCAGACACACACACACAGC